CCTGCTTGGGAAGGCAGGGTTGGTGGTTGGGGTTCTGCTGACTGCTGGTAGGAACAGGGACGTTGTTGTACTGACTCCTTCTCTTCCCTTCTACAGACATGGAGAGCGTGAATCCTAATTTTGTTACGGTGGCCACAAGCACAACGGATCTCCTGGAAACAGAGTGCAACGTTACTGAGGGGACCTGGGGTAAGGACTTCTGTCACTCAGCCATGCCAAGGGCTCGAGTGTCAGGGCATTTTGCAGTAACATCCTAGTTATCCTAATTAATGTGGTCTCTCCTTCCATTTCTGGAGAACTGGGTATGGCCTGGTTACTGCCCTTGTGCACAGGGCTGCACCTTACAGCCCTCTGAGCCTCAGCTATTTCTTCTTCCCTTAGCTGGCTGGGCTGCCTCAGAGCAAGTGAGCTGAAGGCATATGTGCAGCCAGTGAAACTCTGAACTGCCAGCTTTATCATGGATCCATCGCAGGAATCTGTTCCAATGCGAAGAACAGTCTTTGCAGAAGTTCTCTGCACAGTTCATAGCTACGAGCCTCCAAAATGAGAATTTCTGATAAGAGCAAAATGTGAACATGGCTGATGTTAATGCTCAGGAAGCTGCCAAAGATCTTTACTGGCCCAGACTGTGGGAAAGGACATGCAGGAAGTTAGCCAGCACAGATAACCTGTGCTTTGTTAACTCCAGATTCTTCTTCATACCTCTATGATTGCAGAAACCACGTCTTCTGTAACCAGCACCTGGATAGGAGAGAAAGCAGATGACTCCAACACCTCTATCCTCGTGGGCTGCCTTGTGGCTATTATTCTTCTGCTCCTGATGATTATAATCATTATTCTTTGGAAGCAGTATGTTCAAAAAAGGTTGGAAAAGGTAATATGATGGGGCTATTTAACAAGCACAAGTTCAGTACTAACCCTAATGTTCTCAGAGTGGAAAGCACAGGGTTTCCCATCTTCGTAAAGCACCTAAAACTCCGTTCCCACAGCAGGGGAGGGTGCCAGCCCTATCCAAGATGTTACTGGAAATTGCTGCAGTTGCAGCCAATACATTACTTAACAACTGAGCATCAGCTCAGCGGTTTTTTTTGGTCTCTTTACAGGCCCCACGTCGAATCCTGGAGGAGGATGCCACAGTTCGTCTCTCTTTCTACAGCTACACCATTGCCAACAACCAGACCCAGATCCACCAGTCAAATCCCACCTATGAACGTGCTTTTCCACTGGATTTGGAATATCACCAGCCAGCTACGCTGCTCCAAAAGCTTCCAGAGCTCTCCCAAAGTGCCGAGGATTCAGGTGATGTATTTCCCTCAGATTTTAAAGTGTGCTGCTTCTCAGTGTCTAAGTAATCTTCTCTGACTCTTACGCAATACAATACTAACCCAGGGACCTAAGACGATATTCTGAAGCCCTGAAACTTTTTTAGCACGTAACTATGGCAGATGGAGCAGCAGCCTCACTGGAGGGTGGTGGCCTTTTTTTTGTTCTCTTTGAAGACTGTGTTTATACGTTAGCCAGGTCGTCTTTCAGGAGCTGGTTTTGGCCATCACAGCAATCACACATGGGTGTTCTCATCAGCCCTTTGGCAGCGGAGTCGCTGCCTGCAGCAGTCCTGGGCTGCCCAGACTGGCTGGTGGAGAAGACCTTTAGCACCTCTTCCTGCAGCAAGGGCTCTTTGAAATTTGCTTAGGAAAAGCAGAGGGAAATACAGCAGAGAATCGTCAGTGGTGCACTGGCTTCCAGCCCTTGGGAGGCTTTTGGACGCATGGAGAAGGGAACGTTTCCAAAAGTGTTTTGTGCTCAGTGATGGCAGTGCTGGTTAGTGAATGGGAGGGTGGTGCTGCATTCCTCAAGCACTGACAAGTCGCTAAGATCCAGCATTATACTGCGCTGGGACCTCGATTTGGACTGAGTCAGGATGTGAATTTGAAGCAGAACAAACATTCTGTGTGGTACTGACCATACAGGGAGTTACTGGTAAAGACTTATCAGATGATAATTATGTGAATAAGCTGTAAGAGGTAGTGTAGCATGCTGAGAGGGGACGTGGAAAATGGAGACCTTGATCAGTTCTTGTTGCAGAATGAAATCCAGAGCAATTTTATGTTGCAGACAGTGTCCCTGTGTCAGGTAAGGGGAACAGATCATAGTCGGGATGATTCAGAACCAGGAAGTCACTGCAGACTCATGCCTCCGTGTCTGGGCAAGAACTCTTAGCTCTCCTAACTGGGCAGATTCACTGGCACCTCACAGGTATTCTGGTGTCTGCAGAAGTGCGGCTTGTTCTGGTTTAAGCCCTAGTTAAAATAAAGCAGAGCCTTCATCTGGGTGTACCGTGGCACAGGGTAGTGGGCGTGCAGCTAGGCTGAATTCCCAGAGGTCTGCAAGATTGGGAGGAGTGGAACCATCCTGTTTTTATGGGAGTGAGTGTGTCTGACTCCACCTGTCCTTGGTTTCCCCTTAGTGTGCAGTGGGGACTATGCTGAGCCTGACCTGACCAAGTCCACTCCCCACCAAGGCTTTCAGAACAACGTTCCTCACTATGCCGAAACGGATATCGTCCACTTGCAAGGTGTGACCGGCAACAACATGTATGCAGTCCCAGCCCTCACTGTGGATTCACTTACCAAGAAGGACATCTCGGTGGGTGAATTCCCACGGCATCAGCTACGACTCAAGGAGAAGCTGGGAGAAGGACAGTTTGGAGAGGTACAGCCATTGTCTTCAACGCTTCCTCCAACCGAAAGGAGTTGCCTGACACAGTGAAACCTCTGAGCTGCCTCTCTGGCCCTGCTTCATATCTGGGGACTGAGGGACCTGCATACCAGTATTTTATTTGATACGTCTCTGCAATTGGGGAAAGCTGGTGTCCCTTAGGATAGGCTTCAGAGAGCTCCATTATGCACCTGTGAGGCTGCTGCTTGGCACCACATGATGATACATGCGTCTGTCATCTGCTGAGCTTTCTCTTTGCTCCTTCAGCTGCTTTTGATCTGTGAATGTTTTCACCTTGCTGCTGCTTCTCTCCCTGCTTTGTTTCCACGCCATCCCTAGTTCCATGCTGACCTGAGTCTTCCCCTCACCTGCTCTCCCTCTTCCACTGTCTCTTTCCTTCCCAGCTTTTGCTTATTCACAGCCTTAAATTCTACTGTCTGCTCTATTTTAGCAAAGCACAGCCCTCTACTGACTGCTTCCTTGTCTGTGATGGGCCCATCTTTATAATTCCTCCCTTCTGACAGCACTTTTCCTTCACTTCTTCCTGGATCGCTCAGTGTATCAGAAAAAGCACCGACATCCTCAGCCTCTTCGCCTGGCTGTCGGTGCAGTCCCTGCTGTTGTTGCCTGAATCCTGCTCCATCTTAGGCTGTGCTCCAAAAGTGAAACAGGCTTTTTTCTCACTGTTTTGCTTCTAATTTCTCATTCCCTCTCATTCCTGTCCTTCTAATAACTGTCAAAGCTTTCTCCTCCTCCTCCTCCTTTCTGTTGTCAAACAGCAGCAGCCAGGCTCTCCATCTCCACTTTCCTTGGAGATGGATTCAGAGCCCATTCCTTTCCTGGCACCACAGGCCAGGCCCTTTCCCTCACTTTTGCACATATGCCACATCATATTCTCTCTTTTCTCCTTCTCACCTCCTTAGTCTTTACCAAACTGGTCATCTGCTCCACTTCTCTGGCTTAGTGTGCAGTTTTGCTTCTAGCAACATGGCTCATTGTTTTTTTGGGTTTTTTTTCACCTCTCTACTCAGAGCTTCTTTCCCTTTCAAGCTTTTTTTCCTTCCTTGCTTCTGACTACCCACTCCCTGGGCTCGGTGACACATTACCTGCACTTGTAATCTACGCACTTAGTACCCTGGTTCTCTTTGCTATTCCTAGTCTCATGACTGTACTTTCACCGCAGCAGATCTCATTCTCTGGTATCTGCAACAGCATCTTTGTACTTTTGTTTCTGTTCTGGGGGTTTGTCCCGTTTGTCTATGCCGTCTCCTGTTTCTCCTCACTGTGCCTGTCACGTAAGTTCTTGTGCTTTCTTCATATCAAATTCATGAAGCTCCCATTACATTCCCCTCTCTGCTGTGAGTCTTTGGCTGACACATCCGCTCTGCTCCCCTACTCCCATACTTTTTTTCCTATCCCGCTCACTCAGGTCTGTCTACTTTCCCCACCCCAGCATCTCTTGCCCAGTTCCCCAGCTGAATTTGCATTCTGATAACTTCTTAAGCAAATGTCTTGTCACTCCCTTTTTTACACAACCCTGGCAGTAATTTTGTCTTTATTCAGTTATTTATCTGAAGAAACTTGGCATTCTGTGTACTCAGAGTATTCATCTCTGGGTATACTCATAGGTGAGCTGTTCACATCACATGTACACATACACTTTTCTCTTCACGCCCCCCCCACCCCAGAATTAGAGGACTTTGGATAGCTGTCTGATTCCTAGATGCTCCTTGGTTAAGTTGGAGCAGTGACTCATGCCAGGCTGCAGGACAGTTCAGTACGTGCGTGGCTGCTGTACATGCCAAGCCTGCTGCAGCCGTGCTGTCTGCATGCACATGCAGAGTAAAGCAGACAACTCCAGGCACTGTGACCTTCCTGAACGTCTCCAGTACTTGCTGGGCAAATTGAACTGCCCCAGTAATCTACTGCACCCATCTGTATGTGTGCAGTAGATTCAATGCATTGGAGACCTATCAGGCTGCAACCCATATCCACCCCTACGTATAGTGTATGTACACGTTATGTCCAGGATCTAGGACCAACCTATGGGCTATTTCTGATCGAAACGGTCACCTTAATTAGATCATTCTCTTGGTCATTGTGCCAGTGGTGACCAAACTGATGACCTCAATGTGATGTCGTTTTCCTCTGGTTTTTGACTTGTGCATACTCTCGTAGTCACCGCTGTCTTCTGCCCCACAGGTGCACCTCTGCGAAGCCGATGGCCTGCTGGAATTCCTGGGAGTCTCGTCTTCAGAATTCACTCACCAGCCGGTTCTCGTAGCGGTGAAAATGCTGAGATCAGATGTCAACAAAACAGCCAGGTAAGCGCATCCGCAGTGCCGACCATCCGCGAAAGAAAGGGAATACTCTGCAGGCAAGTTTCACATAGGTAACCCTGGTGACTTCTATAGGAGAGTGTCGTGTGTCTCTGGTGTATGTTCTGTGTGTCCGTGTAAGGAACGGGCCACGAGCAGGGAGTGGAGAACAGGAACACACGTCATGTCAAACTGAAGTGCTGAGTCAATCCTGGTTGCTGGGGAAGGGGCCAATGTTGAACACAAGCCCAGAAACAGCTTTCACACTTACTGTGTGCAGATGTGTAAATGTCTCTGAACAGAGACTTTCTTACGTGCTACTTCTGCTTTCCTTAGACAAAGAAATAGTTTAGGATTCACACTTGTGTTTTCTACTTTACAAGAAATGATTTCCTGAAGGAGATCAAGATCATGTCCCGGCTGAAGAACCCGAACATCATCCGGCTCCTGGGGGTGTGTGTGCGTGACGACCCGCTGTGCATGATAACAGAGTACATGGAGAACGGAGACCTCAATCAGTTCCTGTCGCAGAGGGAGATCTACAGCAAATTTGCCATTTCAAACAATATTCCCTGTGTCAGGTAAGAGGAGCTGTGCCCGTCTTTGGGACGAATCAACCAGTACAGAGCTACCAGTTTCATCGGCTGTGCCTTCCAGGCAGTGACCTTCCTCCAGCCTGGCTATTGCCACGGCACGTACTGGGGACACTGGTCCTGCTTTGTGTGGGACTGGAGCCTGGAGATCTGTGTTCCCGGGAAGTGTCCCTGACTGTGGGCTGTTTTTCTGGTCACAGTGACTATCTTAGATGTATTGTTTACTCATGTGACCATCTGTTTACAGTAGTGGGCTTGCATCAACCATTTCATTAATCTGGGAAGCCAGTTGCATTGCAGCAAGAATTTTGGGATGAAAATCAAGAATGTCTCTTAGGCTTTTAAGGAGGTTCATATGTTCTCTGGATGTCTAAAAAAATATGACATGAGGGGAGTTGAGTGTGGAGCTTCACTAAGGAAAGATTTCATCAGCCAACAGAAGGAGAACATTTGGCAAAGAAAACCATTTTCTGTCAGCGGTGGCACTTTTCTCCCTCCTCTATGAGAGGATTAAATCTAAATAAAAGCATCTCTACTATTGCAGAAGTCCTTTCCACAGAGTTGGGTGTAGGACTAACACATTCTGCTCAAAGAAACCTGCACTGGTCAGAAGTTGCTGTGGTTTTTTAGCCCTTGGCATGCACCTCCCCAAAGGATTAGATTGATTTGTAGTTTGAGAGCCAGGCAGTTCGGCAGAACCACTTCTCTTGGTGAACTGGGCAGGGCATGGCTGAGTCTTACCATGTCGAGACACCACTGGCGTTTCTGCTGGTAGCTGGCAGTGGTCAGTAGTCCTGTTGAGGAGTGATGAACTGGCAGCCTGCAGTCATGACACAGCAGGAACTGTGGGATGGGAGAGGATTGTGTCTGAGTAGAAACATATTCCAGCTCTCTGCAGTCTCCTGCCCTTTCTGCACATCTGAAACAGCTTTCACGTCTACACCTGTAGATTTTTTCTGTGGCCAAAGCCTCAAACTGTTCTTTCTTCTTTATCTCCTCCTCCCCTCTCACTTGACTCTAGTGTTGTCACTCACATTCCTCCTTGGTTTCCATTTCTTGACTCTACCTCTAGTTTTTCTTTCTCTCCAGCTGATCCTTCAACCTCTCCTTTTGTCCCTTCCAGCCAGGTACAGTTTCATGTTAGAGGAGGCCATTATGACTAGCTCAGGTGTCTACGGAGTTGTTTACTGGAAGTGAAATGAATTCCTCTGCCAGAGAGCGCGGCTGGTCTCTGCCAGTGCCTGTGGGTGTCTGGTGTAGCAAGGTCTGGCTGTCCTGTCCTGCCGTGGCATAGCAAGGTCCGGCTGTCCTGTCCTG